TTAACCGACTGCGCCACCCAGGCGCCCCTCAAATGCTTTTTAAAAAAGAAAGACTAGAGATAATCACTGAATCTAAAGTTTTTGAAATGCTGACTTGAAAGCCAATCACTTTTTAATATTTATCCAAAAATGTATCTGTGTGTACAGAGCATGACCTATCTGGTAATGCCTTTAAAACACGCATCACACATAGTTTTTTCAACCTTAAAGCAAATGGATACAAGTGTTGGTGACATAAGAGCAGCTTGAGCCCAACGAGGGCTAAAAGATTTATTCAAAAAGGCTTTGTAACTATGAAATTTATGTGACAAAATTCAGGGATGAGGACAAGGGAAGTGAGTCCTGAAACAATATCAAAAGAGAAAAAAAAGATACAAATTTTCATTTACATTACAATTGCTACCATTTTTAAAAATACAATGAAAAGTAAAAGTAAGAGTCAAGACTCCAAAGTTATTCTTCTTTGTATGATACTGGAGTTTTAATTTCTCTCTGTAGTGCTTTTCTCATTTGACAGAAATTAATATTCTAGTCACACCAATATTTGGAAATTTTAGTATAGGCTATTAATACACAGAATTCCATTCCAAAATCATATCTAACTTAGATACTTGGCAAACTAGCTGTAGTCAGGAAGGAAGGAAAGAAGAAAGGAAAAAAGGGAGGGAGGGTGGGAACGGAAAAACAAACTCATACCTCGTGTGTGTCCACAGCAATTGCTCAAATTCATTTTAAATTATCAACAGCCCATGATGCCACTAACTGGACTGCTCACCACCCCCACAGCTCTCACTGGAGAGAGACTCGGGGCTGAATCAGAGACAGCCCACTGTGCAAAGTGACATTTCTGATGGAAACTTTTCTTACACCTCCATGTTTCAAGGGGAGACCACAAGATTCCATTTCTTTGCAAGGGAGCTTATTTTTAAATCACTGTTGTTGACGTTGCACTGAGGATGATCGAAGTCTCACTCTGAGGGGCATCCCATCAATGATATTTACAATCACAACTAAACTCCTTTCCATTAGAAATGGACCCTCTTTTTGCATACACATAAAGTTATTGAGTGACTTCTAATTAACTATTTGCCTTTGATATTCCTTTTTACATTTAATTTGACAAATATACTTAAGTTTCTGTATCTAGATAGAGTGAGGGCATGAAAGCTACTACACTAGCTTCCGTGCACATCAACAACATCCACTTCTAGGATGCTGGTAATAAACACCATCTAGAGGACAGCATTAGGGACTCCCAGCTGTGCATTAAAAACGAGCTCATCTATTGTTCTAAGAGTCAGGTTCCTGATCTGTAGACTGTGGCACAACATACTGCTGTTTCTAGACCTACAATAACTGAGACAGCATAATACTATGAAGAAATGTTTCCACTTAAAAAAAAAAAATAGGTTTAATGACCAACCAAGCAAGTCTTCACTGACATAGTGGAAAGTAGCTGTTGTGGGTCCTTCCTTCACTCCATCAATTCAGCAAACATTTTCTTATCGAGCATTTCCTGTGGGCTCCATAAGCAGTGGGAATACAGCAATGAAAAGTCCCTGCTCTCAAATGAGAATTCTTGTGAATTAGATACTTACATGGTTCTTTTATATTGGTTTTCTAATGCACATCTTATATATTAAGACTATATTTAATGAGTAAAAATTCATTATTTGGACATTATTAACCTGGGTCACAAAATATTTAAACAATGGTAAAAAGTAGCAAACTATTTTCAAAATTCAGAATGGCCTTCTCCCAGTTAGTCCCAATCAAAGAATGTTTATTATAAGAATACTTGCTACCCAATTTCACACTACAGGAAAAAATCATTTTTAAAAAGGTTATTCTTTACGGGAGACGCGAGGTGAGCAGAGAGAGAAAAAATAAATTTGCCAGTGCATTATAACACACCAGACCATTTTAATAGGTTGGTGCATATTAGTAATAATACCTAAGACGTGAATTTCTTAATAAATACTAAGACACATATATTGTCTCTACAACATAAAATACTCTCACAATTAAAATCCATTGACATGCCAAGTCAAGTATGAGAGTTTTAAGCATTTACTTTTCAACAAAGGGTTTTATTCCTATTCTTCTTAACTATTTTGCAGTTTCTAGGTGCTATTCCCCCAACAAGCTATAAGATGACCACTCCTCATGATCAAGCTCAACTTGGCCCTTCTAACACCTCACACCCAGAAGAATACAAGATCGCAGCCCTTGTCTTCTACAGCTGTATCTTCATAATCGGATTATTTGTTAATGCCACTGCCTTATGGGTTTTTAGTTGTACCACCAAGAAGAGAACCACTGTAACCATCTATATGATGAATGTGGCATTACTGGACTTAATATTTATAATGAGCTTACCCTTTCGGATGTTTTATTACGCAAGAGGTGAGTGGCCATTTGGAGAGTACTTCTGCCAGATTCTTGGGGCTCTGACGGTGTTTTATCCAAGTATTGCTCTATGGCTTTTTGCTTTTATTAGTGCTGACAGATACATGGCCATTGTACAGCCAAAATATGCCAAAGAACTTAAAAACACAGGCAAAGCCGTGCTAACATGTGTGGGAATCTGGATAATGACCCTGACGACCACCATCCCGCTCCTACTGCTCTATGAAGACCCAGATAAAGCCTCCACCCCCGCCACCTGCCTGAAGATTTCTGACATCATCCACTTAAAAGCTATTAACATGTTGAACTTCACTCGGCTCATATTTTTTTTCTTGATTCCTCTGTTCATCATGATTGGGTGCTATTTGATCATTATTCACAGTCTCCTTCATGGGAAGACATCTAAGCTGAAACCAAAAGTCAAGGAGAAGTCTATAAGGATCATCATCACACTCGTGGTGCAGGTGCTCGTGTGCTTTATGCCTTTCCACATCTGTTTTGCTTTCCTGATGCTGGAAGGGGAGGAGAACAGTTACAATCCCTGGGGGGCCTTTACCACCTTCCTCATGAACCTCAGCACCTGTCTGGATGTGATTCTCTACTACATTGTTTCAAAACAATTTCAGGCTCGAGTTATTAGTGTCATGCTCTACCGCAATTACCTTCGGAGTGTGCGCAGAAAAAGCTTCCGATCAGGTAGTTTACGGTCACTAAGCAATGTCAACAGTGAAATGTTATGAATGAAAAGAAGGTTTTGGTCTTTAATTTCTTTATATTCACTTTACTAACTACTCTAAGGCCAGTGGATATTCTGTATGATACTACCAAGTCCCTTCCCTCCTGAAAAAAAAACCACATGTAACACTTTTGCAAGATCTTACTACTGTGGCAACATAATTAAATATTCTGAAGTATTCTCATGAACTCATTATTTTTATTTTCAAAACTTGTATAAAACATATTCTTGAGTTACTGGGAGAAAAATATCCAGTTTGTACTTCATATTCAAGCCTTATCTAAATACATAGTTGACAACTTTTTGGATTTAATTCTACATGCAAGGGAATCGTGATTTCTACAAAGTCAGTAGGAAAAAAAATCCACCTTCTTTTCAAAATACTTCAAATTTTCTTTTTGAGGGGGGAGAGTGCAAGTGAGGGAGGGGCAGAGAGGGGAACAGAGCATCCGAAGCAGGCAATGTGCTTACACACTGACAGCGGCAAGCCTGATGTGAGGCTCCAACTCACAAACCACATCATCATGACCTGACCTGAAATCAGATGATCAACAGACTGAGCCGCCCAGGTGCCCCCAAAATGGTTTAAATTATTAAATTATAATTTGATTAGGGGCACCTGGGTGGCTCAGTCGGTTAAGTGGCCAGCTCTTGATTTCAGCTCAGGTCACGATCTCATGGTTCATGAGTTTGAGCCCCACTTGGGGCTCTGTGCTGACAGGGTAGAGCCTGCTTGGGATTCTCTCTCACCCCATCTCTCTCTGCCCCTCCCACATGCTCTTGGCTCTCTTTCTC